CTCCAGGCTGGAAGAGAATTTCCATTGTGCTTCCACGACGTTCTGCTAGCAACTTCAAAGAGGAAGGCACGAAACTATTTACTGCTGAATAGCCTAAGGCAAAAAGGTAGCAATGAATAAAAGTCTTTCCTTTAATGATAACTGCTGGGCCTCCCAGATAAGTCAGGACTCTGGGAGCATTTCACAGCTCCACCTCTGAATAACAAGGAAAGAGCCCTGCCCTGACCAGGTGGAGTAGTGGAGAAGAGCTAACAGTGCTTGGAACATTTTTGTGGCACTATCTACCAGCAGCACATCTCCAGCTCTTCAGTGCCCCTTTCATGCAGCGGAACTGACGTGTACCTGGCTTCAGTCCTTTAACTGGGACTAAGCACTTGAAGCTGGAATGCTAGAAGTGAACACATCTTGAATGGACCTTAGAGAAGAGCTTGGCAAACATAACCTCATAAAAATCACAGGAAAATGACAATGTAACTACTCCAAAAGAGCCATCACCCAAACAGTTGAGATGACAGGTAGTAGGACTTGTCTCAAATCAAAATGCATTGAACCAGATTAGTCTGGAGACTCCATCATAAAGAGCATCATAAAGATGCTCTTCAAGAATAGATGGGTATAATTAATACAAAAGCCCTTGTCAATCTTATGTCTTATGAATGTGACCCTCAGTTAATTAAAATAAAACAGTATGCAGACAGCTGCAGAACCTAGTTAGAAATTCCCCAGAGCAATACACTGGTGAGAACTGCCAGGGCAGACAATGCAGTGCATAAGTACAGGGCAATTTCTTCCAACAGCCATGTAGAGAAAAGACATGACTTTTTATTTACATTTAGCCTAGCTTCCAAGGGAAAGAAAGCCAATGCATTTGAGATGATCTCAAGTTACTTTTGAACTCTGATCTAACCTGATAAACAGGTAATGGTCTTGGAGCTAATGTGCATGCTGTAACAAAACTCCGTTACTAGATAGAGAAGAGACCTTACAAATGTACATGTCCAGTGAAAATGGCTCAGCTCCTGAGCATAAGAAGACCCAGAGCAAAGCGCTGTGAATGCTGCTGTTGACACTTCTGGTTGGACCTCCCTAATACATCAGGCACTGGAAAATCCAGGCATGGAGCCAACCCTTGTTTCCTGTGGGACTATTTACTTCAAGTCAGGCTGGAAGTATCTTTTGGAAATTCCCTGGAGATCTGAAGGCATGAGAACATGACGAATCTTTGGGGGATATGTATGTGCGAATAGACATATGTAGGCCCATTTGTAACAGCTTCTCTCCAGAGTCCAGGGAGCTCTCTGGAAATTCTGGATCTGGAAATTCAGACACACACTTATGCCAGTGTAATCGCAGTCCTGTTGCTGACTGCTGTGTATTGAAAGGTTTAGAGAATCTGAGACTTGCTAGGTTCATAGAGTTAAAATCAGAGTGAAATGGGATAAACATCAGATCACTGATGCTTAAAGGTTTATTTTGCCCCAAATGGAGAACAAAAGATGAGCCTAGGTAGGATCTGTTAATCCAAGTGTATCTGCTCTTCCATGTTCCTCTATCACAGCTGCAAAGTGCAGGATTGCCATCAGACAGCAGCTGCACCACAGGCACCAAAGAGTAATTAGAATGTACAAAAGCCCTGGAAACAGGAATGCAAGGGAAGAGCGTGGGTGCTGAGACTAATATAAAAATACATTTCTGGAGGGGGAACCTGGAAGAAGCAAATAAATGCTAGTTAACACAGCCCCAAGTTGTGTTTGGTTACAGAATGAGAGTGTAGCTACAGTGTGCTTTGTGTATAACCTCCCTTCACATGATGCTTTTGTTTCATGGCTGCACGATGCAGAAAGGCTCCTTTGTTGGGAGGGAAAGAGGCCCCACAGAACCCAACATCTGCATCTACTGTACAAAAAGTTTAAGCAGAACAAGAACAGTATTAGCATCATAAGAAGCTTTCCTTCAAAGTTGCTTCAAGATGCAGCAGAGACAAAGTGGGTAGCACAAGGGAAAAGAGGACATATCAGTCAGAGGGGCCAGGAGTCATGCTTCATGCAGTCAATCCAGGAAAATTGGGGGACAGGATTTGGCAGGGGGTTGTAAGAGATAGGTTTTGCTCCGTGGTTTCTGAACCTGATACTGATGTCTATTCTTTACTTGAATCTGTTGGTAGAGGATGGAACTGAATGTGCTTGTACCAGTCTCCCTCAGTGAGAGGCTTCTGGTGGCAGGATTAAGACATTCTCAACAAGGATGCACCAATGGAAACTTCAAGGGAGAAAGCAGAGTACAATAAAGATGATCATAGAAATGATGGGAGAGCAAAGGTTCAAGAACAGAGCAGAGCAGCTGACGGACAGGAGTGTGGCTTTTATTTGGCACCTTGTCTTAGCAATTGAGAGCTTTGATAAGGGTCATTTGGATGAAATACCAAAGGAAGCATTGGTTCAGAGGTCACAACTGGTATTGGCAAAGAGGAGAACTGGGAGTAAATTGCCTTATTTAAGTGTGGTGAGGGGCCTCAAAAGACAAAAAGGCTGAGAGGAGCAGTGAAAAGGATGTTTCAGTGCAGAATGAGGTGAATGAGGAGGGGTGATGAATTATCAAGGCAAGCAGAAGTGTTGGGAAAGAAGAGCAGAGATCTTCCAGGTGCTGTAACAGGAGAACAGAAAGGATGTGAGGCAGCCATACACTGTGAACTCTAGTTCTTACATTTTGTATAGTTTCCTCCTGTGCATAGAGTGGAAGAGGATGTCAGGAATGAATCAGAAGAGGATTCATATACATAAAAGCTCTTCAGGCTCTGAGCTCACTTGATGAGGCTAACACTGACAATCCTAAATATTCTAGAGGTTTCCTTTCTGCTCTTGATTGCACTTAAATATCCTCAACATTCGGTTTTTCAAGCTTTGCCACTGAAAACTATTTTTTGAAGAGAGAGCAAGTTTCTCCCAAAACCATAAAATTCCAAAAGACAGAGTTAAGACATGGGGAAAACATGAGGTGTCTACCACCATGATTTCAAGCTTGGTTTTGTAGTGGCACCTTAAAAAGTCAGATATTACTTGCAGTTCCATAGGAACATATTCCCAGGAGGGAAAAAAATAAAAAAGAAGTCAATTTACTGGCATGTGATACAGCAGAAATATCATCAGGTCTTTGAAATTTCCTGTACCTTAAGGTGTTGATTACAGCAAGTAAAAGGCTTAAACTTCTCATTACTGAAACAGGAAGCAAAAAGAATTATTTATCTTACAGGCAAAGAAGGCCAGCACAGGCTGAGTTTTTCAGATGCTTGGCTGACCCATTTTTTGCAATACAGAGGATTGCTTGCTGTTAGTAACCCTAACCCATCCCAAAGAGAAGTACTGGAGTATAGTTTATGGGGTTAGGGTAATGCATTAGGCTGTGATAGAGCATGTCATACCAAACCCCATTAGCCCTTCAGTTATCATTGTTTGGAGTCAGTGATAACAAGGAGGAATATTTCAGTTTAAGTGGAACCGATAGCCTAGAGGGAGGCTTTCTGGTTTAAGTGATTGCTTTGATGTACCAAAACATGAAACACACGTTTCTTTGTGGTCCTGGATACTGTTAATATACTTTATCTGATGAGCTAACTCAGCTGGATAAATCAGTCAGTTTTAGGGTATGGTGCAAAGCAAAGAACACAGCTAAAGGTGAAGAGATGATGACTGTGAAAAAATATCACTAAAGAATGACAGGTGTCTTCTGACCTTCCTTTGCTCCTTACTGGCATAACTGCAAGAGGTTTGTATAGAGCAAAAGCATGTCAAGTGCTGCCTGGAGAGCTCGAGAGGGCTTCTCAGTGGAAACCCAGCACAGTCAGATCCTCCATCAATTTTAACAGTGAACTCTAGAGCTGGGTAGCAGAGTGCATGCATAAAATGGATTTAAATACTGCTATCTTTTCATGCTTTCAGTTGTGAGAGTAACAGAACGAACTATACGATTCAATGGGGAAAAAATCAGCCGTGTTCAAACCCCCCTCTGCATCCCTCCTGCCCTGGGCACTTCCTGCTGAGCTGAAGCTGTTCAGCTATTGTTCCGTTCTCATGCTCTAAATTCATGTCTAGCTATTGTGAAAGGAGGAAGTCTTGTTAACAGAGTTGCTCCTCTGTGGTGTGACAGTGGGAAAGGAATGAAATACATGAAGTTCCTAGGCCTGCTGTTTACAAGATCTTTTTTTCATCTCAATCACTCTTTAAGGTAGTAAGTCAGTAGATACACATTAGCTTCAGTGACATGAAACTGTATAGCTTAAAACTGGTCTTGAAACTGTCAACACTCTGAAAACTCCCCTTGCGACAGAGCTGCAATAGTCAGAAAGCATTTCCTTTTTCCCATGCGTGCCTCAGTTGATGTTTGCAAATTACCAAGCATGAGGCTTCATTCTGCATTTCTTGGCTCATTTCTTGGCCTTGCTCTAACCAACTTCAGACGTGGCAGCTGGCACAGTTTTGATGTGTGCTAACGTGAATGCACCAATACAAAGGAATATAGTGCACATCGAGAGACTTGCCCACATACAGCAGGCAGGTGGAATCTCTGTGCTGGTAACACATGTGAGAAGTGAAGGTGAAGGCTGGAGATGACCAAGACAGAGATAGCAGGGGAGTGTGCTTCTCTAGCAGCAGGGCATGGGTTCCCTCCCTTCTTGTGAAGAAAACAAGGGGAAGTCCAAAGATATCCGCCTAATGCCACAGATAGGAACTGGTGAGCTGGAGAAGGCTGCTTACGAGCATTACAGCTTCCCTGCCACACCTGCTTGCTGCAGCTGCGTGCTGCTTCAGGAGCCAGCGGTACCTTCCGAGCATCCCGCTGCCAGAGCTTTTCTGGTGGCGGGGACTTCACTCCCACGTCGTCACGTACCCCCCAGCCTTTCAACAAACCTCACCCCAAACCACTTAAACCACGCAGTTCCTCACCCCCAACTCTTCTCAGCACATCTTTCCCCTCCGTATTCTTCTCCCCGCCCCCCCAAACGGAGGAGCCGCCCTCCGGCAGCGCGCGTGCCCCGAACCAAGATGGCGCCGCCAGCCTCATCTGCCTGCGGCGCTCTGGTGGTGGGCGCGCTCGCTTCCCTGCTGCTCGCGGGGCCTGAGGGGCGGTAAGGGAGCTGGCCGGGACTCTTGACTTTATCGCCCCTTAATCAGCGCTTTGCTTCAGCCCGATTTTCTCCTCCGTAGCGAGAGGGGGAAAGCTTGTAGCCATTGCTCCCACTGCTCGTAGGAAGAAAGGTTATCGGCTGTGACCTGCTCCTCTGCTTCACGGGTTTTGAGTAAACAGCAGCAGCTTGTAAAGAAGGTGCGGGCTTGATTTCTAGTGTGTTCTGAGTCCTTTCCAGGAGATCTCCGTCACTGTCAGATGATTCAAGAGCATTACTAGATGTGCTATTTCTGATTCCTAGAAAAAATCTTCAGCTGTGCCAGCCTTGACAAACAGCAATGTATGTGATGACTGGCTGTTGACTTCAGGTGGCATATGTGTTTTGGAAGGTCACGCTGTCCAGTCGGCCCACTCAGCTGATGCAAAGCATGTAACAGGCCTGTTTGTTTCATTCCAGTGAGCTGAGATTGACCAACCGTGAAGGAAGGAGAGGATCCTGAAGCAACGACAAGCTCTTTGCATCTGGCACCTGTCCCAGAGGACTGCTCCCATACCAGTTCTGTTCCTAGGTATGGCGCAGGGCTAACAGCATGTCCCTTCCACATGCCTGAAGGGCCAGGGCTGAGCTGAGGTCTTGTTTGTCCTCACAAACACATCTCCCCACCAGTTCTACCAGTAGGACCACTATAGCCTTGATTTAAATGTCCCTATGTGGTCAAAATGCTGTGAAGCGTTGGAGCAATTGACAGAGTTGATCTGAGGGGAATACTTCAGGAGGAAGAAAAAAGAGAAAAAGTAGTCATTAGTTTCCATTAGGAACAGCTGTCTGGTTCTTATAATCGCATGGCTGCGAATGTTGTTAGCTGTGTTGTGGTAACACGGGGAAGAGGCCAACACAGACTGCTACAAAGAGGCCCAGGATTGCAGCAGCCCACCTATGTCAGTATTGCCCTCAGACTGTTCTGCTCCCGTGCCAGCATCTCCTCTTACTATAACCTTCCACTTGCCTGTGGTTGAATTGTTTTGTTTTTCAGACCAAGAACTGAATTAGAATGTTCTGTAAAGTATTTGTGTATTGAGAAAGAAGCAGAGAGTGGTTGTGTGAGCTCCTGGTGGCTAAGGCTTGTGACTGAGATATCAAAATGAAACTGAGGGCGTTGTGCAGCTGTGTTTGGAGATGCTTGATGGGAATGTTTTAGTTCCATTCTCTCCAGAATTGTTTCCTACTCTGTGTGATGCTGACTGTGAAGCTGGGCAGTGCCAGCTCTGCTCTCCACTCAGTGCTGTATTTCTGCCCTGGTGAAATGGTTCAAGGAGCTCTAAAGAAGGGTGTAGGGATGTGGGGGTGCTTCAGTTACAGCTTTCCAAAGTACTCTGTGTGGAATATACAGTTCAACTTCCCTCACACCAGAAAATCCTTGCCGTGCCTGCAGGATGAAATTGCAGGGATATTTGTTTCTTTTGCTATTGAGAGTGATGAACTTTATGAACAGAGTCAGGAGGAATGCTTTTAACTTGTCATATCTAGAAGCATGATTGGTGAGGGAGATGAGATCCCAAAGAACATATTTCCTTTCAAAATTGTGCACATAGTAAATTCACAGCAGAGTATATTCAGTACTGTTCTAGTGCTGGGGCCCGATTCTGTACTTCTCAGAACCCTCTAGGAAAATCTGATTGACTGTGGGCTCCTGGTTATCCAATTCAGGACTGAGGGTTATTGTCTATGGTTTTTGGTGTTGCTGTGGTGGTGTGTGTGTGGTTTTTTGTTGTTGTTGGTTTTTTTTTTGTTTTTTTTTTTTTTGTAGTTGTTTTTTAATATCTTACTCTCTACTTCAGTACCAATATATTGAAACAGTTTCTATCACAAAGTGAGCTGAGCAGTTGAACAAAGATTGTCTGGGTTGATTTCTGCTCAGATTTTTATGCTAAACATTTGACTGAGCTAGGTTTTTATGTCTACAGTGGGACCATGGACGGAGAGGAGACATCACCAAGTCATCACTCAGAAGAGAGCAGCATATTGGACCTCCCCTCTGTCTGTGACCTAGCAGAGGGCTTTCTGTCTCCACACAGCACTGAGAACAGTGAGGAACTTTTTAATTTTGTGGATACTTTTCCCTCTCCACTCACAGGTAACAGCTTCTGTCTTTTTACGTGGCCTTCCTTTAGCCAGTGCATTATCTCTTTAGTCAGTGTGTCATTTGGATGAGTCAGTGGTCTGATTGTGGTGCATATGCCTTGTCTCAAAACACATTTATTATTCCAGCTTGGTAGGTGTAATGTGTACTATAGGTAGAGGAAATATATGAGAGGAGTTCAAAGGATGCTCTCAGTTTTTAAAAGCACCATCTCTTCATGTTTTGTGTGATCTTGGAGGAAGAGAATTGCTTGAACAAACCCATAGCACGATCCTCCAGGCATCAGGAGGAAATACTGTCCCAAATTACTATTGTCAGTAAGAATTTTTTTTTTTAATCTCTTCTGTTAAGCTCTTTATGTGCTCTTTGTATCGTGCATCTTTTACCAAAAAACTCAGGATGTGGCCTCTGTAATCTATTACTTGAGTATTACAAGAGCGAATATTTGCTTGTGCATGATAAGAGCTGTTTCCTTTTGGCTCCTGGGGAATAGCACTCCTCATTTTCCTTGAGGGAGAGCTGATTCTTGCAGAAATAGTGTTTTAGACTGTCCTCTTCTGATCTGTAGGAATATTAGCATTTCTGATGAGATGAAATGATGATATGTTCTGATTGCTATACCTTTCAGCCCAACCAATGTGAATATATGGCAAGAGGCATTAAATCAAAATGTAGTGGCCCAGTGACACTTCCTGCCATACACTGATACTGGCTGGATGGAGGATTGTAGTAATTATATGTAATGTAGTGGTGGGAAAAAACTTTGATCACAAATAACATGAGGAGATAGTTTTTTTTTTTTTTCAAGACAATTCCACAGGGTGATGATACTCCTGATTGCTTTTGAGTCTGAAGTAGTGTAAAAGTATAGTCTAGCTCCTTTTCTTCTGGCGCTGGGTGGCGTATTTTGGCCTTGTAGAATAAAGAATTGCTTGGAATTAGATATGTGAGTGAGGATACTGCTATTTTGCATGCTAAATAGGTAGGCAGTGGGATCTACTTAACCAATCTTGCTCAGTTGATGTTCATGGCTTGCCTGTGCTGTTGTCCTCACCTCTAATTGCAAGTCATCCAGAACCTGTAATGAAATATGCAAATAGTAGATATCAAACCTTGTTTGGCTTTCCTACGCAGGCCAGGAAGTCACTCATTTTAGACTTCTAATGACACAGGTCTCCTACTGGATGTTCTATTAAACCACAATCCTTATCTTGTTGGAGAAACAATGTCTGCTTTGAGGTTTTGCATTCGTTTTTGTGAAAAAGGGTGGTGACCACCTCTGCAAAGAATGTCCTGCATAAGCCTTTTTCTGCTCTTCTGTGAAAGGAGGATGGGGAAGTTCCCTTGATGGGACAGACTGGAAGGCTTTTGTCTATTCATACTTCAGAAGCCCAATGTTGCAGATATGAAGAAATTCTGGTAGCTCTGAGACAGTTCCTGTGATGTGTATAGGTGGCTTAATTGCTCAAACACAATTCAGTATGTCTTGGGGCATGAAGACTTGATTGCACTGATGAATGGAGAGCACAGAAGAAATTTGTGACCACTCCTCAGACTGATCTGAGGGATAGCAGCAGTGTCATATGTGGAAATGAAGATACACAGCCCTAAGCCCAAATGATAACATTGGGTGATTTGTTTGCAATGAACAAGTAGAATAGATTGCTAAATCACGGCACCAAGGTATGCTGTGATGCTGAGTCCTGCCTCCTTGTTGTCTCTGCACTCTCTGCTGCTTTGAGGGATTCCAGGTACTCTGAAAAGGGCAGAACAGACCCATAAGCCCTCTCCCTCCTCCTTTTTTTTGAGTCCCTCACAGCCTAAAACCACTTTATGGTAAGAGTGGGATGCTCACTGTAAGAAGGAGTGTTCAGTAGTGAAGTAACTAAGTATCACAACTAACCCGTTTCATGCTCTGAATATCTTCCTTCTTTTCTCATTATAATAGTATCAAACTGATGTGTTTACTCACTTAAACTCTCTTTTTTTATTTTATGATGACACTTCAACTCAGTAACTCATGGAGTTTGGTCAGTGTAGCAGAAAAAGCAGGAGTGTTCTAAAAGCAGCATGCCTTTGTCAGATTTTCTTTGGCACTCAAATTCTGTCAGCTATAGCTTGGAAAAGGAAGCTCCTTTACTTGTTTTTCATAAGATGTTGTGTACTGCTGCTGTGACACAGCCTGGGGGTGGCTATAGCCTGCACCCCTCAATGGGCTTGAGCAGTGTGATGGTGAGTCTTCCCATTAAATCAGAAAGAACTTTGTTAGGGGTGGCATTCCTCTGATTCAAAGTCATTTCCCAAGGGCCTTTGAGTCTTTGGGAATGTGACAGCTTCCTTAGCAAAGAAGCAGACTGACATTGCAGTCTATCTAATCTGACATTTGTCATATGAGCTGGACTTGAGTCTGACTAAAAATACTGTGCCATCCCAACCTCAGGATTCGGAAATGAATATGTGGTATTCCTGGTGCCTGAGTCATTGGTAATAGGGCTTATTAGTCTAGAGAGGCTATGTCATCTGAAATAGCAGTAGATAGTCCCCATTAGCTGTGAAAACTGGACCTTGTGATATTGTAGGCATCCCTAAGCAAGGGAAGAGTAGTCCTGCAGAAGTAGTGCTAACTGTGTAAGTTATGTGTAGATTAATGCTTTTAGGATTTGTGTGGAAGTCAGGGCTGTGCTCTTATAACAGGTGTGTACTTTTTTGTGTATTGTTATTGTGAGTTCAAATATTTATGTAGCAGTAGATTGAAAAAAAAAAAATAAATTGGGTCAGTGAACTTTTTGCTATGCTTTTTTCTTATATTGTCCCTCTTAACTGGAAAATAATTAAAAAAATAATCAAAGCTGACATTCACTGTCTATGGTGTTTCTAATCTGCATCAGTGACTACGATGCTACAGTAATACCTTACTACTTCCTTTAAACTGAGAAGAGCATCAGCAAAACTTCTTATTTGACAGTGACCAGGGTGAGAGAAAGGTCTCCAATTATTTGGTTTAATATTCAAAAGACAGCTGTTTATAATGGAGTAAGTCACTGGTGATGTTCCTTTTTCTTGTCTGGTCAGAACCGGTGTGTAATGAGGATAGTAGAAACAGTCTTTGCCTGAAAAGTTCACAACCTAAAAAAGGGTTAGAGAACAGCCTGCAGACATGGGAGTGTGCTTGGGGGACTGTCCCTGTCTGACATGTGGTCAGAGCTCAGTCCTGTCTGCCTGCATGGCTTTTTTGAGAGCTCTCGATCTTGAGAAAGATTGAGCCTCCATATACATTGTGTAGCTTCTGTCAGTCTCTTTTTCTTTGTCATGAGCAGTTAGGAAGATCTGTCCTTAAGAGGATGGGTAGGTAGACAGGGTCATCCAGTGAAAGGGGAAGAGGTATGGAAAATATTGCATCACGGAACACAGAAACTAGAGGAAGATGACTGTAGAAGAAGAAAGATGATGATGGAGTGTCTGGGTGGAGCAGGAAAACAAAAATAATTCACTGTGTGTTTGGAGAGACTCGTGTATGTCTAAATGCTAGCTTTTAGAAAAGCATCAGTTTGGGAAATAAAGGCTTTCAACCTCTCTGGAGTCACTACTTCGTTCTTGCAATTTGCTTTGTGTTTGAGCACAAAGTTACTTGGTTATTGTCCGTGAACTGCTGTGACCCCGTCAATACAACAAGCGTTCCAAGCTGGCCCTAGTTCTTATTCCTGCTCTATCCTTAGTGCTGGCACTGGTACTCAGGTGGGGATACTGATGTGAGGACAGCTACACTTGCTGGCAGCAACAGAGGTTTGTGTGAAGATACAGAGGTCTGCAACGTGTCCTGTCTGTCTTATAGAGTTACAATTTTTCCAGAACTGTGGCTTCTGGAAAAAGTAATGTTAGAACATAATCGCTTTTTCCTTGTGGGCAGCCAAGCTTTAGGTTCCTTTTGATCGATGGTGTTGTTCCTTTAGAAGCATGCAGTTTGTAACTGCTAGTGAGGGCCTGGGAGAAGCTGAGCAGAACCAAAGAGCAGTTCTGTGTGGCCCAGAGCCAGAGAGGCTTGGGTGAAGTGGTGAGTTGCCTATGGTGCTGCTGCTGCAGCCAAAAATCGAGAAGAGGCCTGACCACAAGATAGTTCTGGTTTAAACTTAAAAGCTGTCATGATTTTTGGATTGTTTGGATTGCTTTTTTTTTTTTTCTTTTTCCAAGCAGCCTGTGTTAATCAAAGCAGCAATTCCCAACCTGTTAATGTACCTCTCAGTTCTACAGGTAATTATGATTTCTCTGAAAAAAATGCTACACATACCTACTGAGTTTACATGCTTCCTTTTGCAGTGGCTTGTCTGTGTCTGTGGAGTCACGTTAATGTCTGCATGTGATTTGTCCTTAAAAGCTCTCTCCTGTTTACCATGTCCTCTTGCCTGTCAAGAGTTGCTTAATCTCTTGCAGAATCGGGTTGTGTTTACTGAAATCTGGCATGGCTTGTGTTTTTTTTTGTAAGGGAGTTGCACACAAGTGCTGATGTAGAAGCTGGAAATGAAAGGAGCAGGCTGTACTTCTCATGTCAGCAGCAACCTTTCAGGGCTGGCACTTGTTGGGTGCTTGGAGCTCCAGTTCAGTCCTGAGCTCAGCACATTCATTCATTATGTGGCACAGAAATTACAGGTGGCTGTTTGGGCTGCCACTGCTACCAAAAGTAGCAAAGTTTCCAAAATATCATTTTGCCTGGACATCTGGACACCAACAGAAGAATAAAGGTCTTATGTAAGGTCTCATTTAAGAGGCCTGCGTTAGCTTTGTAAATGCAAAACACAAATGATATTTTAAATCATTTTGAGAATGAGCCACAGCTGGACTTAAACAAACAAACAAACAAACAAAAAACCTAAAAAACCCTTCAACCCTTTAACTTGCATTTCTGACTGCAAAATTTATAGAAATGTCTTGAGCAAAAAGATATAGGCTGCCCAAAAAGTATCTTACTATTGATTTGATGTGAAGGACTGCAGGATGAT